CTTGGGCTTGAGAATGGGTTTTTGGAGCGTGATCTTATCAGCGCCCCAGTAGGAAAAGCTCATCTTGCTCTTCTTATCCGAGTCGTCCGAGTCATCTCCGTCTTCGTCATCGTCTGGAAGGGGAATGATCCTTGGCTTGTTGGAAGAGTGGGCCTCTTCTTTGGATCGAACAACACTGAAGTCGAGATAAGATATGTTGGGTGATGTATACTGGCGGCGGACTTACTCTTCCATGGCCACGACACCTTCCTTCGGTTGAATTACGTCCCCGATTGCCCATGTTTCTATCTGTTGAAGAAATTCAGCGAGCATATTGCCACTCAACAGAAAGCGCACGCGCCTTGATAAACTTGTACAAGTTTCGTGGCTTCGTGTGCGAGCTCCGACGCCCAGCAGTCGCATACTTTGACTTGCCTTGCATCTCTGGCAAAGAATTTGTGCGCGAGTTCATGCTGGATACCAGAGGCAATGAGGTGACCCCGGTGCGCTGACACCTCAGCACGACGTCATTGAACACAACTAGCCACAAGTCCTTCTTCCCTCCCATACCAGAACCCGACCCCAGAACATCGCTCAGCCGTCGGAATGAAGTCTTACCCTTGACGTTCTTGGTAGCCAGGACCGGCGGCGGACTTGACCCTTTAGGCGACGCTGACACTGATCCATCCCGACCAACAAGAAGCTGCCTCTCCTCCAGAAGTAGCCTGGAGGGCTTCGGAATCGCTAGCTGCTTCACCTTGTCAAGTCCCTCGATACGTGCCAAAACGTCCCTTGTCTTATCACGGTCCTCCTTCTGGATCTTCTCGTCCTCAATACTTCGCACGATGGTCTCCACTTCAGAGACCATCTGCAGAGTGCTTTCATATTCGAACGTGCTCGGGTCGGTGTGGAAGAGAAGATTCTGGAAGAGGAGAGGATACTTCAGCAGGCGCTGAAAAGGCTTCGAGAGGGTGATGGCAAGACCAGTCTCGGCCTTTTCGGCGGCGAGTTCTTCAAGGCGCTGCAAGGACTTGCACACTTTAAGCCATTCAATAGCGTCTTGGTTTTTGGGCTTCTTGGCGGCACTGGCAGTGGAGAGGGCGTTGTCAACCTGCTCAAGCGCACGCTCGAGGTGGAGGACGTAGGTTGCGTAACCTTGGAAGATGTGGGACTGTACAAAATCAACAAGTGAACACCTTTTCAAAGTAATGGGAAACATACACTCGACACGAAGACATCTGCAAGCGATCGCACGAGTGGATATTGTTCGTCATAACGCTTCTTCAAACCTTCGCTGAGCTTGACATGACCGTCAAGAACGCCGCTCTCGATGACCTCAAGACATATTCGCAAGTCTTCGGGGATCAGATGCGGAGGAACAGCTCCCTGCAGTGGACCCTCTGGCTGCGTTTGTGAACGCTTAGGCTTGCGCAGCAAACGACTGTGCATTGTCGGCGTCGTCTTCGAACTGTCTTTCCGCTCCCTATCTCTGTCTCTGTCTCGGTCACGTTCCCGTTCGACAACAGACTGCCGCCCCAGCGAGTGGGAAGACGCGTTAGCTTGGTTCATTCGCTGTGGAGCGGGTAGAGATGCATGCGACCGCGACGGGAACGGCACCGACTTGCCAATCTTAGCCATAGCTGAGCCTGCACGATATGGCGAACGAGGATGGCTGTGCTTCGCTGCCAAATTGGCACGGTTAGATTGCAAGCCACGGAGCTGGTCTCCATCATCCAGATCTGATTCGGCCGACTCATCATCGATGATTGGTGTGGTAGGCGCGAGTGACTTAGTCTCTGGGGTTAGAGCAGACGCGCCCTCGGAGCGAAAACCTGTGGGAGACATAAAACGGGAAGCGATGGGGAGTGCCTCGATAGATTCTTGGGGTAAGTCGGCTCGGGTAGGCGTTGGTACGTAATCGTAACAATCATAGGGTGTGGGGGACGTAGGAGGTGGCGCAGCGTATGGATGGAGGAGTGGGTCGATGAAGGATTCCTTCATTTTCTGGAGATCGTTGACATACCTGAACCATGTAAGGACGGTAAATAAGTGTGCACGTTCCAGTGAATATAGCAGATAGCAGACATACCGCTCCTCGCTGGCAACAATCTCCCACAAAACTTCCTGTCTTGTCCGCTCGCGCGGACCCAGGTTACTCACAAGATCGTCTTCTGCACCCTCGCTCCACGAGGAGACAGCGAGGATCCGCGTGCTAGCATTCGACATTTGAGAATAAGGCGTCCCAGAGCGCACAGAACCAGGATACGGCGATACAACAGTCCGCGTTGATGTTGCTTTGGCAGAGTAACTTTGCGCTGCGGTCGGTGTGAGTGTAGTGGAGGTAGCGCCGGTGCTCGTGGTGTTGGTGGTCGTGGTTGATTTGGAACCTAGATCTGTGCGTGAGGATGACGCGGCAGTAGCAGTAGAGCCACGCGTGTCTTTGCCATGTGTTGCCTGAAAACGTGACAGGGTAGTCTTGAGTGGAACCCCCCCAGCCGCTTGAGACGGCGATCCGGAGTTACTGTGACTGGTGTTCGTGTCTGGAAGGGGCTGTGTGGTTGAGGGTCCTGATGGGGTAGGTGGAGGAGAGATGAATGCAACTTTTTTCTGAATGTCCGGATTAACATTGACGGAGCCGTCGACCGCCTTGCGAGCGCTGTACTTGACTGTAGGTTCTGGGTGATCCGCAGGGGTGGGTACGATTGCAGACACGGGTAAACCCACACCACTGTCGCTGTCTGCATCGTTTGGTTCCTCGATTGGAGGAAGTGGACGAGCGGTGAGATCCGGTAAGGGTTTTATGGACGCAACTGAGGAGGGAGTACCCGCACTTGTTCCTGTGGTACCGGCACTACCAGACCTCTGGATCTGACTGGGAGCGAGACTAGGTACATGGGAATGACGGTCGTGCTTGTTCTCCGTGCGTGACTGCGAGACTTGCGAAGGGGGCCATTCTGGGAGAGGGGGAAGCTGTATGAGCTCCCTCTTCTCTCGGGAGGGTGGGGTAGTGTTTGGAGACTGGGTGTTGGAATTTGTGGACGAGCTAAGGGTATTGGTGTCGCTGCGGTCGCGGTCGGGGACGGTGACAGAGTCTTTATCCTTGTCTCTTTCTCTGTCTTTCTCCCGTTCTCTGTTCCGTTCTCTATCCTTCTCCTTCTCCTTGGAGTCTTTTGAAGGGCCTCTGTTGAACCTGTTGAGGAAGGCTTTCATGGCCTCCAGGCCGTGTTGGTAGTTGGAAAGAGATGGAGAAATGGGTCGGTGATGAGTGTGGGATGTTCAGTGTAGAGAGAAGAGCGGCGACAACAACGTGGTAGAAGTGCCTCCGAGATATTGGTGGCAGCCCAAGGGTAAACCGTAACTGGGAAGAAAAGAGGAACACAAAGTTAGGGAACCCAATCCCGCGCTAATCCGAGGAAACTGGTAGCAGGACTAACCAGCTGCAACTGGTGGTCAAGTACAGTGCTAGTAATAGTTCTGCTGTTGATTCTCTTGCCAGATTATTTCTCGCAGCACCATCGCGTCTCTGACAACCCCACTACCTACACTCCGACTACATTTACAACTTGTTTGGCCCCCCAACGAAAAAACATATCAAAAACATAACCCAAAACAGTGCCAAACCATAAATTTGTCTCTCGAACATTTGATCCTGTTGGCATGTTGGCAGGTTCTTTTCCTCGTGTCCTTGCTCATGTTTCTTTTATCACAAGTTTATCGTTCTCGTGTTCCTCGCTTCGTTCAAGAAATATCCATATCAGTCAACTTGTAACTCAGCCCCTTCGTGTCTTCGTTGTTGCCCATCACAAGCGTGCCACTCTTCATCTCCAAAATCGAGTTGTATTTCATGTCTGACTCAATACATGAAAGGCCCCTTCCTGCGCATCACACAAAACACCTGTCTACCCTCAGATACACTTTCCATGGCCATACCTTCCATCTTAACCAGAGGGACGACGGGATCAGCAATGGCACTGCCCTCTGGCTCGGAGCACAGATCCTTTCTGCATATCTAGCCAATGAATTGAAAGCTTCCCGTGTACGTATGCGAGTTGGCGAGCAAAGACGTCCGCGGGCCGTGGAGTTGGGCAGCGGGATAGGCCTCACGAGGTGCGTGGGCCCTTGCTCTCACCTCGACACCACTAGCTGGCTCAATTTACCTCCTCTCCGACATAACCCATGTGGTTGCTATTTTACCCTGTGCTTATGTCACCATTCATTGGATGTGTTGCAACTGGATGATTCATGAATCGGTTCTTGATCGCGGAAATAGCCTTGTTTTATGCTCGCTCGGATACGATGTCCTTGCCACCGACACCACCCATGTATGCGATTCCGTGCTGCGGCACAACATCACCGCGAATTTACAGCATCTCCCTAGTGACGCTGGATCGATCCAAGTTCGTGTGTTGGACTGGAATATTCACAGCGATAGATGGCAATGGAATGATCCGATGCGAATTACTCCTGATGGGAATCCTTCAAATGAAAGTGGCGAACCAGAGAAGTTGCTTGGTCCACCCTTCGATCTCATTGTATCCAGCGATACCCTTTATGATGCATCACTCATTGATCCCTTTTTCCACACTATGAGCGCCTTATCTGCATTTAGCTTGCTTCACTGCCAAACGCCGACTTTTATGCCACAGAAGCCTCCTCTCGTTCTTCTAGCTCTTGAACGACGCGACCCGCAGCTCATAGATAGGGCGCTATCACGTTCCCCAGTGACACTCACTCAGGTGCCGACGAAAAAACTCAGAAAAGCGCTAGAGCGGGCAGGTATGTCGTGGGACACAGAGGTTTGGGAAGGCGTCGAGGTCTGGAGGGGTTCACTGAAAAGTCCATGAGCCAGATAAGCACAGGGTGTGTGCAGCACCATGAGCGAGATTACTTAAAAATTTCTCGGCCTTCGATGCTCAGCTCATCCAAAGTGAGAAGTGACCATGCAAACACCATAGCACGAATCCGATGGTGGTGTGCACTGTGTATTGTGGTGACACTTCTTCCCAAAATGACGCAAAAAGTTCGGTTACCGGGAGTCGAACCCGGAGCTGCTGTGATCAAATTGCGCAATCAGTGATTACGAAAGTCTTGAAAGACAGCCATGTTAGCCGCTACACCATAACCGAGTTGGTGAGTTGTGCTGACTTGCTTCATTTTGATTCCTGGTGGGCAGGTCTACACAACCACCAACCGCAGTATTCTCTCCTATCGTTTCATCGACCGTGATTGCTTTTAGGATCAATCAGGTAATGTCGTTACAACGTACCTCGCGATTAGTAACGACATGCTGAACCCAAGACACTCCGGCCGATATTCAAAGCAAAACCCGAGGCAGAGGTGTTGTATGCCCGAATTTAGTTTACAAAATGGCGCGTGCGAGACAGTGGTACTAATCTTGACCGCCACTCAGAATATCACTCATCTTTCCACCCCTTTCAAAATATCAGCCAAGATATTTGCATCAGCCCCCACGCCTCGGTGCGATGGCGACTGCTACTACAGTGAGTATAGAGCCATGCGGTGATCTTCTAACCTTGGGAGATACAAAGCACGAGAGTGGGTGTGGTGGCGACGTGATCGCTGCTTCGTCAATACCGTATCACAATTGATATTAATTGGATAGCAACTACGCAGGAAATAGTGCATGCAAAATTTAAGGCGAACGAGGAGCTCAAGATTATAAGCGCACTTGCCTTGATGCAGTTCATTCGGACATTAGTACCTGTCCCCCCAACGCACCCCACCCTCTGCCTTTGTGAGGGGTCCAATGGGGGGTGCCATGGCCGCCGCTATTCGCGCCCAGCCAGGTAAGACCACACTGTACCTCGCAAGTTGAATCCAGACTGAAATCGGCCAAGTTGTGTCCGCAGCTAGTAATGGTCGAACACCATTAGCGCCGACGTGTTAGTGTTGTCGGCCTGCCGGTGACCAGCATCTTCACGATAGCAATTCACTTTCTGGAGGGACTGTTGCCCGTGAATAAGGACCATAGGATAATTCATGGAAGCAGCGCCTGGGCCACTGGGCAGTGGGAAGGAATTTGATTGAAGTTCCTGCAGGGCGCGGAAGCTAAGGTCTCGGATATACGATGACGCGATGTGACCTGTTGCTAATGTTGGAGAGTACGCCCGGGACTGCATATGGCAGTCTGCATCCTGATGGGCGGGTCGTGGACAGGTTCTGATACGGGATTTGGATGAACTCGTGCACGAGGAGCTAGATAGCGTGTTTCACCGCCTCGCACACCACCACATTGTGTTTTGCTGAGTGCGCCCGATCTCAATGGGTAACTTTCAGCGTGCATCCGATCTCAACGGATGGGTTTCAGTGTTGCATACTCTTGGCGAGGTGGTTTTCAACATTGCACTGGTCAACGGCAACTGTTTAGCTTCGGCCCCAAACTGCAGAATCGGCAGATACAGCGGCGACAACAACAATAACAACGGTGATTCAGCGGCGAGGAATCAAGATAGATAAACCTGGAAATGAGACGACGACAATTGTGGCAGCAAGGGTTTTGGGTCAGTATTAGCGCGGAAAATCAGGAGAGATCAAGAGCAATCAGCATTGAGCAATGGGGTACCTCAGGAAATGGTCGTCGTAGTGGTCCTGGACCACAAGGCAAGTCAATTAGACCAACGTGCAGGTGATCCGTTTGTTGTTGGGACACAATCTCGAAGTACAGTACTTTATTATGTTTGGTTGGTGGTAGCCTGTGCAAAGAGATGCAGTACGTGAGCCTACAGCCCACGGTAATCTATTTACAGCAGTTTAGTACATACAGTAAATAATCGCGACCTGCGATCACGCGCACGAATGAAAGCAACTCGAGGGACTGAACAAAATTACCTCTGAGAGCAGTCACACACTGGCAGCGTAGTACTACCTTGTTTTCCTTGCCATCCGGCAGGGATGAAACAAAGCTCGCATCACTGTCCTCAGAGGAGTTGTCGAGCTCATCCATGGCCACTGCCGCTGATGGTTGTGTCCCCATTCTGGCATGCAACAGCATCAACCGTGAACTCGATCAGATCGGGAATATCCAGCTTTGACCTCAGCGGGACGAGCCTGAGCTTGGAAAGAGATGCAGTATATGGGCTATAATAATCTATTTACATACTACCTACATCCCAATTGACGTGCTCAGTCGAATTCCAACAGTGATCACGCCTTGTATGCTTATTTTTTAATGACAGTCAATATGATAATACTTTCCTGCCACCACTGCATCAGAGAACTGGCTCAGCGTCATGTCGGTTGAGGATACTGTATGTAGCTTCCGAAATTGCCGATGAGAAGCCGATTCCGGGGTTGCGGCTGTGTCAATGCACAAGTGCTACGCTGACGCGTCGCCGAGATGTGGCACTGTGGCACAGACCACACCTTTTGAAGTTTGTATATAGGCTACCTTGTCCTCTTCCACCACCCCGCCAGCGCATCCGTATCTTGTACCACATCCTTCTCTTGACCACTCATAAACACCCACACAGTAAGTTTTTGTTCGCTCGGACAGTCCGGAGCCCTCCGTTTCGTCATTCAGGACTAGCTCATCCCTAGCTTTCAGACCACCACATTATGGCCCCCAAGAAACGTTGCCAGCTGCAAGCTGAAACTCCCTGCAACTCTGCAGTCTTGCGTATAGTCGGCCGATGCCCACATTGTCGAGTTGAGTTCTGCGGCGAAGTACGTTCACAAGCCTTGGATATGTTATCTTGTGACTCACACTTTCTTCGTTTCTCGCAGCACCGTCTTCCAGAGCACCATAACTGTAACAAGCTCGAGGACTGTCGGCAGCAGGCCTTTGAGAGGAACAAGGCGAAACTCGAGAACGAACGGACCGTGGCCTCTAAGATGGCGACGGCATGACGATCTCCCCGTTTCGCCTTCTACCTCACAGTCACTCTTTTGTGCCAAGGACACTCATTTACCAACCTCCCCTTCCAACACTACCTCCTGGTGGATGTAGTTCTGCTCAGAATTTCCTCAATGAAGACCTCTGCTATCTTGGGTTTCCTCTCTCTCGGACTCCTGCAGCTATGCCACGTCAACGTTACTAACAATGTTAGATCGTCGGCTTAGCAACTCGGACGCAACCTTTGTGTTCGTTGTGGGTGGTATAGGTGTTATTATAGATTTTTTTTTTCGTGTACTTGCACAAGGCTGCACTGTTTTGCGAGTTTGATTGGTAGTATTTAATGATCACTTGCCAGGACAAATGATTTACGCTGATACAAGTCCCTAATCTCCACATCACGATGGCAGTTTTATCGTAGGCGCAGGAACTTCATTTGCTTTGCGAGCCTGTTATGTAAAAGGCTAGGAGGGAGAGCGGAGGAGAGCGGAGTAGAGCGGTTGTTGGACTTGTTTGACGTTGCTGCCATGATAAGAGTCGGGATTATCGATTATTGACCCTCTATTGCCCAGTTGGCAGCTAAAGTGCCGAGCACAAGTGCTGGTGGTCGTTTCAAAATTATCCGTGACTCAACTGACCTGTCATGAGGCCTTGAGGTGCTCAGCCGTCCCTCCATCTTGTTCCGCATCCGTGTATAAACATAATTCAGATACAGCATCTGACCCCGACCATTACCAAAAACTTGGGTTCTTCTCTTTCCGAGGAGTACTTAACCTCGAGAATCGTTGTTCGCTAGCGCTGCAGTTCGCATCTCCCCTCTTCCACATACTCTCTCGGGTAAGTGCTCATTGCAAGTCGTCGCCTTGAAATTGGACTGGAGACAACCGCAAGACGGCTATTGTCCTGGACCAATTTATGTTTAATCACATGCACTGGCTTTGTGCCGGATATCTAGTTTTGTGCTGCTCGCCTACCCTCCCTCCATAATCCTTTACACGCTATCTGCCGATTTCTGATGCTTACCTCCATGGCTTCCAGGCTTCAACAAGTCTCTCAACACCTCTCCAGTTATATCAACATGTCGGCCGGTTGGTGTTGATATGAAAAACACTAGAAATAGTACAACCGTTCATTTCATGTTGTAGAACTTTGGGAGGGCGTCCCCCTTGCCCCACCGGACAGGTGTGCCGTACCTGCAATGCCCCTTATGTCCACTAAGCATTGTGGGCAGTATCTTCAAGCTTTCAGCTGCCTGCAATGCCGATCCACACCCGAAGAAGATCAACCTCGGCGTGGGAGCCTATAGGGATGACGAAGGTAAACCCTGGGTACTTCCTGTCATTAAAAAGGTGTGTATGGTGACCTGAGCCTATGTCCACTGACCAACGCCACTGACGACTCATGCCATCCTTCCGATCTATCACCCTGCTTGCAGGCGACGCAAATTCTGTTGAATGACCCCAACGTCAATCATGAATATCTCCCTATCACTGGGCTGCCAGAGTTTACCACGGCTGCCGCGAAACTGCTGCTTGGTCCCAACTCATCTGCCATAGCCGAGGGACGTGTTGTCAGCGTTCAGACTATTTCCGGCACTGGTGCAAATCACCTTGCTGCACTGTTCCTCAGCAAGTATTACAATTTCAACGGGACGAGGCAGGTCTACTTGAGCAACCCTACATGGGGTAAGTCTACTCTTATATGTCGTTTGCGGCTCTCAAGTTGGTGCAGTGATCCACCACACTATTTTCGGGAGTCTTGGGCTCAAACCCGTCGAGTACCCCTATTACGATCCTCGTACCGTTGGCCTGGACTTTGAGGGTTTCAAGTCGACTGTGGAGAACGCTGTACCACGTTCCGTGTTTTTGCTGCACGCATGCGCACATAACCCCACCGGAGTGGATCCTACCAAGGAGCAGTGGAAGGAACTCGCTGAGGTGATACTTGCTAAGAACCATTACGCATTCTTCGACTGCGCGTACCAAGGTTTTGCAAGTGGTGATTTGAATGACGATGCGTGGGCCGTGAGGTACTTTGCTGGTAAAGGAATTCCCATGCTTGTATGCCAGGTATGCGTGGTATTCCATGAGCCTGGCGTTCATCTTACATACCTCCCCTTTTCCAGAGCTTCGCGAAGAATGCAGGCTTATATAGCGAGCGAATTGGAGCACTCCACATCATTTCTCCTAGCAAGGAGGTTGCCGATCGGATCAAGAGCCAACTGTCTGTCATACAACGAAGTGAGATCAGCAATCCTCCCTCACACGGAGCGCG